TTGAAGGGACAGAAGTGGAATGTTATGCAATGGCCAAGTCAATCACCTGACCTGAATCCCATTGAGCATGCATTTCACTTGCTGAAGACAAAACTGAACGATGTCCCAATATTTCTGGACCTGACTGTATATATATAATGTCAAAAAGTTCAAAACCACTGAAGAACTTATTTCTACAAGGAGTTTCAGTTGTCAATAAATAATCTATTTTTACCAACTATCTTCCTGTTGCAATTTCATCAGGATCTTGCCCTTTTTCAAATACTTTTCTTTTAGTGCTTACATTTTATCATTTATTCTTTTATTTTCAGTATAAGAAAGTAACTTGTAAGTCCATCTATTTTCTGTTCCTATTTATGTTTTTGTTTCGTTTTGCATAATTTAATATTTGGCTGCTCTGATATAAAAGTACTTTGCACAATTTTAATAATATGGGATCACTTTCTGATATGTTTTGAGTACAACCACATTGCTATAAAAACAATAAACCAGTAACAGTTGGGAATTCAATTCTTTCTGAACATGATATATAAAAGCTGTGTCTCATCTCTCATTTCAGGGGTCAGCAACTGTTGCCAATCCCAGATGACATCACAGATTCTCATGCCCTGGCATTCCTTCCCCCAAATGTCTCAACCCTGTGCCAGGTCTTGGCTGTTTTGATAATCTAATGTGTGATTGATGACATCTCATCCTTAGGGTAATGTGGGGTCACCTCTTAAGATGCAGCAGTAGTGCTAATGCCCACAGTTGTTACCTGTCTTTTGCTTTCTTATTTTCTGTACATGCTTCCTCTTATATACTCTGATAGAAAAACTTCCTCCTCTGTATTTTACTAGCTCATTTCTGATCAGAATTTCCCCTATTTCCTTGCATTGGCAAATCACACTTCTTTTCCCTCTGGTTTTTTAAAATGATTTTTTCCCCAAATTATCAACACTATCTCTTTTCCCCTTTCCCCAGCCTTTAATTTTTTTCTATATCTATAGAGAAATACTTGCATATAATATGCTCAAAATAAAAAAAAGATACAAGTAAGTAAAAAAAACCACACACACACAGACATACAAAAGCATCCAAAAGAGTTTTTTTTTTTTCCTTTGTAAAATTCACTTAATTGGCATTCTCTCTGACATGGTAAAATGGCATTTAGGTAATACATAGCTTCAGGAATGAACTTTCAAATGTATTCAATTATCTTCACCTCAATTTATTCAATCCTATCTCACAGGCTTAAACATTTTATATCACTACTGCACAAAGAGAAAATATTTTTGGGTGTGCAAGCTGTGGCATAACTGAAGCAACCTGCATTAATAATTTATCAACGGTAGGGTCAAATTTATGTCTAAATTCAAAATAGGAACTTCCTGCTCATAATAGCCTTTCATATTCAACAACTCTGTAATGGCTTTGTCTTGGATTTAAACTGCTTATACAGAGCTTTTCTGTTTTTAAATTTGAAATGTTTTAACTAATTTCTGACTTCACTGACTGTATTTAGATTTCAGTGCTTTTTCACAACTCTGCTATTTGAAGTCTACGGAATGAAAATCCAAAATATTAAATTAGTGATTGTACAGAAAAAGTGGTTTTATATTGTACTGATGTTCTTTAGTTACACACCAGCCCTCAGAGTACTTCTTTGCTTTCAACAAGAAAACTCTTCAGCTTTTAAGGAGTCCACTGGATGGTACTTGTAGAAAATTTGCACTTTTATGTAGTTTTCCAACTTATATTAGAAATGATGCAACTGGTGCATTCTGGTACATTTGAGACATATTTCACAATGCTGCCGTGTTGGCTGGGAATTCTGATGTGATCCAACATATATGGACAGCACCAAGTTGGGGAAATCTGATGTGAAGAAAAACTTGAACTCTGTAATCAATCACAAATTTTACATATAAATACTAAAGTATGCTTGGCAAAGTTGTAGGAAGTAGAATAATAGAAGGACAACACAAAAGCTCTACAAATAGTCCTCATTGAATGACCACTCATTCAGTGACTGTTCGAAGTTACAAAGGTGCTGAATGAGGTGAACTTACAACTGGTTCCTGTAATTACGATGCTCATAATGTCCTGCAATCACTCAATTGCCATTTGCAACCTTCACTGCCGGCTTCTGACAAGCAAAGTCAATGGGGAAGCTGGCAGGAAATTGCAAATGGCAATCATGTGACCGTGGGATGCTGCGACCACACAGGATTCGCCTAATGACTGCAACTAGGACTGCCACAACTGCCGTTGTAAGTTGCTGTGGCCATGTGATATCACATTTTATGACTGCATCGCTTAGCAACAGAGTTGCCAGTCCCATTTACCACAATTACTATCTGTATAAATGAGATTGAAGAGATTACTGGAATGCCTCTGAAGGAGCTACAGAGTTGTTACTGGAAAAAGGGTCAAGATGACAAACATTTGTCCATGTAGTCACCAGGAGTCCAACCTAATGGACTAATTGTTCTTATCATTCCATAATACCCTAATTAACCAATTCCCCAACTTTCTATGGTAACTACTATATCCTCTAATTAGATGGATCAGAATGCAGCCTGAAGGCTTGGAACATATACAAAAGGCATACCCCGCCCTATGCAGCTCTTAATCTTATTCCTATGAGGATTAAAGTATTCAGTAGTCCATGTTCACATTCCTAATGTTGATACATTGAGGGATGAGATAGGTATGAAGGGAGATTCTGCTTGGACTTCCTTGACCATGAAAACAACAAATTAAATGTCTGCAATGGGATTCTGATTTACTTGTTAAAAATAGGCATGAGTAATCTGTGACTTCAGAACACTCTTTTGCAACCCCTGAAGCTGTTTCCTCCCCCACGCCCAGAAAGTTCTTGCCATGTTGAGACTAGAATGTCATATAAACCCTTACACAGTTTCAGCATGGTTTCAGAAATGAGGAAAAACTTCCAAATCTAGTTCTTAAAAAGCCAAGGGCAGAAGGGAAGCAAACAGAAAATGTCTCTCTCCTCATACATGCTACAGATTTGCCCATTGTAGCCCTCATTCCCCCAAATATTAAGTATAATTGCCAGCCACCATCCCAATTTAATACATGTATGAACTGTCCTTTTGCCTAACAGCACCTGAAGTAAAATCCAAACAATCCAGTTATCATAAAAAACCGTGTGTTCAACCACTTCAGTGCCACAGAATTAATATTAAATAGGACATTAAATACCATTAAAGCTTAATAGAAAATAAGAGTGTTCATTACCCATCTGAACCAAATAGTGCTTACTACCCATCTGTACCAATAAACTCCTGGATAGGAAATTATGCACACTTCTGTCACAATGGAAAACACCACTTTTGCTTAACATAGCATGAGATTATGAGCCTCAGAATTTGTTTTGAGAGCCAAAGTGAGTGCTACAAAAAAGTCTCTCTTGTTTAGTATGTTTCTGTAGGAAGACTGTAAAAGTGGGAAGGGGGGAGCAAGAAGAGTAATCCAACAGCTTCTATTACTAAATTATTGATACTCAAAGATTTTTCTCTATTATCTACTGGCACAATAGAGATCCACAGCAAAACTCCATTAACTCAAGGTCGCACTAAGGCTATCATGTAAATTCAATTATTTGTGAATGTCAAAATCAGTCAATAGATCACAAGCATATAAATTATCTCATTTGTCAATGCTAAAACTGAAATGCAATAAAAACCAGTGAAATCAGAGTATAAAACTGGAGAAAAATGTGCACATAAGCAATATGAAACCAAGGTCAAAGCTGCAGAATTGCTGATCTGAATGGGCACCCAGTGTGAGCATGAAGTTCTTATTTTAACTTTAATTTAGTGCATATCAGCTGCACACAGAGCTAACACTATTAGGCTGCTTGACCATTTTTTTTTGTGGGAAATATTAAGATAACACATTAAAACCAACTTCTGAGGTCTTTGTCACAGTTCTTTTGTATTCTAAACAAAAACAAATCTGATAATGAGCTTCTGGAATTTCATTTGTAGGTTTCTTGGCAGAGCTGGCAGCCAGTTCAGTCTTTTTCTTTCTCTGGACTCTAGCTATTTCTTTTTTATGATGTTCTTATTTGATCTTTTTATTCTGATTCTGTAAGTTGCTCTAAGAATTTCAGCTGAAGTGTGGCTAATAATTTTAACGAAACAAAGTGGCTGAAGTCCTTGAGTACTGAAAACTATCTGCATAAAAGCTAAATACTAACATTGCAAAGTTCTGTGTAAACTTGTAACAGCTGAATCCTGACCATGTTCATTCAGAAATGAGTTCCACTGAGCTCAGCAAGGCATACAACTGCAGCTGACATTTCTTACTCCAGCATACTAGGGAGGAGCTTGAGCACTGTAATCAGTTGTAATCCAAACTGCTGGGTCAAACCCACTACCACAAAACAATCTGGAACTACACCCCTACTTCTAGGCGAACTAGAAAGACTCACGGAGATTTATTTTGTATATGGTAATGGCAGCAAGATTATTATATGCACAGAGATGGAAGAGTGCTGAAATTCTCACAATGGAGGAATGGATTGTGAAAATGTCAGAACTGGCAGAAATGGCAAAACTGACCTGTTTGGTCAGGGAGAAAACAGTAAGTGCTTTTTTAGAAGACTGGAAACCTTTTATGGACTTTTTGCTAAAAGAAGAAAAAAAGTGAAATGATGATTTATGGATTTAATGATTGAAAAAGATGAGAATTAAATACAGGGCTGAAAGGATTTCTGGAATAAAGAAGGGGGGAGATTATGGGTTTATTAATATCTGTCAAAAAGAAGGTTGGAAGTCATCTACTTTTCATTCATTCATTCATCATTCAGTCATTCATTTATTTCTATAGCCGCCCATCTCAACCAAGTGATTCTGGGTGGCAAACAATTCTAAAACAATAAAAACAATACAAAACA